GGAGGGATAATTAATCGGAGCTTTGGATGATATTAATATTATTAAAACTATTGGATGAATACATTTTCACATTGAAATATTACTGACTCAACCAGTTATGTTTTAGTTTGAAGTTATTCCGTCTTTGCGTATTGCAGAGTTATCTTCTCTTGGGAGCAGGTATTGATTGTTACGTCATTGGTCTGTGTGAGAAAATTACGTCGTTTTCTCAAAAGATTATGACGTTTCTCTCACAAACAAGTGACGTAACAATCAATCCCTGCTCCAAAGAGAAGATAACTCTGCAATACGCAAAGACGGAATAGTAGAGCTTAAGCAGGTACTCTGTCTATTGCCAACATCACCATTTGTCAAATGAGAGAAATATTTAGAGATCTTAAACTAACTGATAACGTGCACAGCTTAATACTTGACAACATGTTTAACAAATGCTTGTAATATCTGAACTAACAAACAATTTTGAATCGATGGCTGATCCATTATTTTTGAAACAAAAAGCCACTAAACATTATTATACATGTATGCTAGACCATGCAACAATCACATACATTCTCACTGGTATCAAAAACAAAGACCAGTGCTGATGTGTAGTCTTAAGCATCTCAAACCTTCAATAAAATACTGGTACATTATAAAACAAAACCATTACTCAAAATATCAGTGTATTACAATATCTCATTAATACGTCATTTCTCAGATATAAGTTGAAGAAAAAGTATTTTGGAAATGATGTATTCTAAACAAAGTAGGATAGAATATAGATACATTATGAAGTAGACTTAGTCTGGATCAGTAGAACCTATCTATAACACGCATTTTTCCGTTATATTCTTTAAAACAACAACCGACACTTTAAAAAAAATACTCATTCCGATTTATTGAATAATGTGAAAAACTGCTTTTCTGACAGAAATGAATAAATTAAAATAAATTTGTATATAAAAACTGTTTGTCTTTCCCTCTCAAACGAAATAACAAGCAATGACCAATTTGTTTTAGATGCACTGCGTTTACCTAAAAACTGTATACATTGTTTCACATAAACAGCTTTGTGGATTAATTTCAAGTTCATCAAGTTTTACTATGTTGAATATATATAACCAAAAAATAATTCTCAGTCTTTTCTAACAGATGCAAGTATTTGTAGAGCCCTAATCTATCAATCTAGTGCAGAGAAAAAATTCTTAGAATTCAAAATGAATATAAAACAAAGATCTCTTTAATCACAATTTTTAAAGTTAACCCCTGAAATTTCATAATGAACTATTCCAACCTTTTGAATTGGAAGATTTCAAATGTGTCTTCAGGGGTAAATGTGTTTAAAGAACAAAAAGAGTAGAGGAGTTTTGAAGAATTAAAAAAATGATAAAATACTTACGATAGTAAAATTTTACATTACAGAAAACAAATTTAAATATTCCTCTCAGTCTCGTTAATATAAACTTAGATACATTGCTTGTCATCACTAAGAAACGACTTAAAACAAAACTTAATTAAGATTATGTGATAAGAAAGTAGGAGGTTATTTTACTCCTCGCAATAGACCCAAAAACATCACTAATGTAGGTGTGTTTACATCGTATGATCAATGGCTATGGAACCACTCCCGACATTTACACACCAAACTCTATCAAGTTACTCAATATTAACAATACAACTCAGCTAAATTTAAATTACAAATAAAAGATAATATCAGTGAAAGCTGAACTTTATTGGACCCTTTCAACCCTAGGAAACTTTAGTAGACTCTACCATGCATTAATGGAATGAGTCCATCATGGTCTACACTGGTGAAAGGGTTAAATATGAGATTAATGTGTATGTAATTCACAAGGAGAAGCCTTTGTGAATTAAAATCTGTGAATGTTAATCACATGACAATATTACTGAAAGCTCAACTTCTACGGACTACTGTGTACTATTTATATTCACAAGGAGAATCATTTGTGAATAAGAATTTTCTGTGAATATTAATCATATGAAATGATAACTTTCGATATTGAAACACCATCCTATTGATCACAGATATAAGTATTCATGAAGAAAACCTACAGACATGCACATCGTCCACAAAATCACGAATGTTTGGAAATAAAGTGTTGAACTGTACATTTGTGTATGGCAAAGCGACTATTCACGGAATTAATAAATGTGAAAAATAGCTAATATCTAATAGGATCTGACCTAATTTACATAATCAACCTCTATCACAACATGGTTAGTGAAAATATGACCAATACCTGTAGAATTAACATGATACTCCTGTTAGTGAATGGAGATGCTCTATATATACATACACATTATATACATTTAATGTATAGTAATACAAATCCTATATTTTTCACAAAATACACAAGAGTACCTGTGTATCACACATTTAAAAGTAGGTATAATTTACATAATCAAAGTCACTATACTAGATAAGGAATCTATACTCTACTTTCTAATGACATAAATTTTCAAAAATAAAATTGGCAATAATTTGTGTTTTTCACCAGGAAAACTGAATATGCCATAAAATAACATAAACTCAATCACTTAAATGATGCATGTGTAAAACTTCATGTCAATCAAACTTTAAATTTTATAATAATAATGAATATTTACAAAGATTAAGTATATATGTATCTGACAAACATTGTCAAAAAGTTTATATTGGTTCATCTTCACACGAGTTTATCAATATAATCATAATTTGGCGAACTGAATGTGACAGAAGAAGGTGATCAATGCTATTGCTATAACTCTAGTAGTTATGTTGTACCAAGCACACGAAGATTCATCTCTAGAATTGGATTTTTACTTTCATAATATCTCTAATGATAAAGTCATCTAATTTTTTATATTAACTCATTCATCCCTGAAGACACACTTAAACTCTTCCAATGCAAAGGTTGCAATAGTTCATTATGAAATTTCAGGAGTGAATGAGTTATCAGCAATGGTAGAACCTTAATAGTCTGAACATATTTTGATTTGTTAAGACAGAGATCCCTATAGCCATTGTGCATCAGAGTATAAATAACTACATTATGCAGTGTATATGTAATTTCTCATTTGATATAGATACCTGTGGTTTAGATTGAAGAAACAGGAATTATTACCCTAAGGATATTAAATCCACTAATTTGGGTCCACTAATCCAGTCCCTAGTGATATCTGGCTACTGTGCTTATCCAGTCACCGATGATCTGGTTGTCCCTTTAATCCAGTCACCAATAATCTGGTTTACTTGCTAATCCAGTCGTCATTAATTCTGGTTATCTTGCTAATTCAGTCATCACTGATCTTGTTGTTTCTCTAATCCAGTCACCACTAATCTGGTTATCTCTCTAATCCAGTCTACATTAATCTGGTTATCTTACTTATCCAGTCACCACTGATCTAGTTGCCCTCTTATCCAGTCTATATTAATCTAGTTGTCTATCTAATCCAGTCTCCACTGATCTAATTGTCAATTCAATCAGTCTGTTAATCTAGTTGTCCATCTAATCCAGTCACCACTGATCTAGTTGTCCATTCAATTCAGTCTCTGTTAATCTAGTTGTCCATCTAATCCAGTCACCACTGATCTAGTTGTCCATCTAATCTAGTCCCCACTCATATCTGGCTACTTTACTAATCCAATCTGGTTATCCAACTAATTCAGTTGTAACTAATCTGGTTATCTGCACATCAAGTCCACACTAATTTCAACTTGGACATATCCCGCTTACGAATTTGCCACTATATCTGGCTACCCCTCTAATCTGGTTTTCATGCAGACAGTTATTTACGGAAAAGTTCATTTTACTTTGTCTTGTCAATTGCACACTCCTGCTACATAAGCCGGATCAGTACCCGAGACTGGAGGCTGGATTACATAAACTCATTCACCCCTGAAATTTCATAATGAACTATTTCAACTTTTGAATTGGAAGGGTTCAAATGTGTCTTCAGGGGTGAATGAGTTAACATATTACAGCACATGTAGAAGCCTACAGCTAGGTGATTATCTCAGTTTTAGCCACTAGCCATGTATTAGTCTAGGTGTATTTATTTTTTAGCCAACTTTCTGCATTTAGCCAAATTGATTAGCCAATTTGTATCCTGTTTTTAATAATTAATTTGTCAGTGAATCTATAATTCTATCTGTAAGTTATTTAATGGAGTTTTAGATTCCATTTCATTTTTGTGTGAAATATCGCCTGTCTGTGTTGAAATTGTCTGAAAATCAGACACTAAATTAAATCTCATACTGATAACTTGTCAAGATGAAGAATTTAAAAGTTGACACTTTCATCATGTATGTATCATTACACCGATTATAAACCCCGACACAACTGGATACAGGGCACTTTGTGTCATGCAAGACGTACCATTTTTTCCGTAAGTTGCTCTATCAAATATCTCTTAATTAAGCAATTAATATTTCAGCTAATTGTGTTGTGGTATACAACATGTACTGCTATTTCTGACCAACTGATAAAGGTTGACACAGACTTATGTTAATTTTACAGCAATGTTTAGTGGCAATGCATGTTAAAGTTATATACCATAAAGTAATTAGCTGAAATATTCATTTTTCATTTCACACTAAAGACAGTTCACGGAATTCTTGGATTACCAAAATCAGTGGTTATGATTAGATTCAATAGTAGTCACGGCCAAACATAAAATTAAGTTAGTTTGACATAGCACACTCGTAATTAAATATAACAATACATGACTGGGGCTTAATGTGCCGACCCAAAAAAAGGTTTGCCCACCAGAAAAAAATAAAAATCTCTTGAGAGTACCGATACTAACTGAAATTTAACTTAACCCTTTCACCCCTAGGTAACTTTAATAACCTTACCATTAATTGATCTGGATGATTCCATTATGGAATACAGTGTTGAAAGGGTTAACCCATTCACCCCTAAAGTCACATTTGAACCTTACCAAATCAAAGACTGGGAAAGTCTAGTTTAAATATTTAGGGGTGGATGAGTTAAATACTTTGTTATTAGTGTTTTATATGAAAGAAGTTAATGAAGTAATGTTTTCATTAATACCTTGAATCTTTTTATTTCATTATTTACCATCTAGCTTCTTATTGTGGAGATTTTTTTGTTAATTCCCTACCGACCCAAACTTCAAAGCGTCGGTCAATGAATATTTTAAGGTTGGCCTAATACTGGTCATTAGTGGTCAGCTGTCCAAATGGTGGTAAATTCTTACAATATATATTTCCCTGTAATGTTGGAGGACACAGAAAATTTAAATACAAAAGCTTGTACACATTCTTATCATTTATACATTATTGCCTTTTTGGTAAAAGCTAATAACCGGTATGAAAATTGATGTCTTTCAAGACAATGTGAAAAGTTGAAATATGAAAAGAAATCTGAGGAAATATTAAATTGTTTTTGCTCTAAATTATCATAATTTTCTAATTTATGATGTATTCTTTTCTGACTATTTTTTATAATTTACAGCATGTTCTGTTCTTAGCATTACTTGTGTCTTATTTATGCTAGCTTATTTTAATTAATTTACTTATGAATAAATATGTCTCAAAAAGATGTCCTAGGTTTCGAAGACTTTTAAAAAATCATCTTTAAACAATACATATAACATTTTATATTAAGTATTATTATTTTCAAATTACAACCCTGCAATACTTCACAGCAAACAATCTTTTCAAAGATTCCAAAATGATTGACTACAGACAGTAATTAATATTCATATTCTATTTACCAGAGAAAGCAATCAAATATAATGATTTCCTTCTTTAAGCAACTGGTGACATTGTCAATTTTAAGTCAATTTCTGATCAGGAGAGTTTTGAACTTGAAGGTCATCGTCTCTAAATTTATTTAAAGTATTTTTTCACTTCACATTAAAATTTAAACATTTCCCTTAAACCTGAAGCCTGGCTGTTCAAACTATTACCTTAATGAGAAATAACCAAATTATTGAAAATAATCTTTTTGCTCTTACATCCGTAAGAACTTTCCCCTAATTATATATGACCGCATCAGCAGTCATAATGAAATATGAAGAAAATTCAGCTATATATCCATCCACTGTTTGGTATGATCCAAAATATAAAAGAATTCCAGAGGATAAAATTGTGTTAGTTCATCATTAAGGAACCAAAGCTTTGATAAGCCAGGACCACGAGCCCCGTAAATGTATCTATTTAGTGTCTGCTCCGTCATCATTTAGGTGAGAAAGCTTTGAAAAGCCAGGACCCCGAGCCCCGGAAATGTATCTATTTAGTGTCTGCTCCGTCATCATTTAGGTGACAAAGCTTTGAAAACCCAAGACCCCGAGCCAAGAGATGTATCTATTTAGTGTCTGCTCCGTCATTGCCGCTCTCGTCTTCCTCCTTTACCAGCTGCCCTCCCGGGCTGTGGACCTTTAGATGATGTGTAAGCTGCCGATTTTCTCCGAATCGTTTCGGGCAGTGTGGGCAGCCGTACGGTTTCTCCTTAGTGTGAGTACGTTTATGCCTGTGTAGAGTTCCATACTGGGTAAAACGCTTCCCACAAAAATCACACTTGAACGGTTTCTCACCTGTGTGTATACGTCTATGAGATTCGAGATGTTGCTTTTCTATGAAACCCTTCCCGCAGAATTCACACTTGTGCGGTTTGTCTCCACTGTGGCCGACCATGTGACGACGTAAACCAAACACACCAGTAAATCCCTTCCCGCAGATTTCACATTTACACAACTGTTCACCCGTGTGTAGCCGCACATGACGATAGAAACTGCGTTTGTTCATGAACTGTTTGTGACAAATTTCACACACGAATGGTTTCGCGTTTGACAGCGACAGTGATTCATCTGCACTGTCAGCCACGGGGCTCCGAGTGGGGGTGACTTGGACGGTAGACTCTTGTTTAACAGACGTGGCCGGTGAAGGGGCTGGTTCCACGTGACCTGTGCTCTGGAATCCGCTTGTGCTTGGGAAAACTGGAGTCGGAAGCGGTGTCCTTCCAAGATTTCTCTGCATGACCTGACTCGCCAGCTCAGAAAATGAGCTGAGAATATTGCCGGTCTCTATGAACTTTGGTATACCTTCCCCGGCCAGTTTGTCCGACATCGTGTATGAGACAGACTGTGTGTGTGCATTCTCTACAATGGTAGAAGGATGAGAAATGTGGGCATGAGAGGGAGTTGAGGTAGCAAGAGGATGGTGGTCGGCCATTGTTCCGTCCAGATCGTCATCCTCGCTGTCAGACGATTTTTGATTCTCTGAGTCTTGATTTGATGCTGCCATCTCTGATTGGTGAGTCTGTATTTGATGATCAAGGTCATTTTTAGTGTTATTAGTCCCATTGTGACCTTGACCATGCCCATGAGCATGACCATGACCTTGATTATGTCTGTGACCTTGGACTTGTGATGAATCCTGACGCATGATGACGCCAACGTGTGTATCACTAACGCCTTGTGTGATGATAGATCCAGGAGCGTACCCCTCGACCGAATGATGATGGGCCACGGTGACTGGAACGTTTGATGGGTCCGCTAGCTGTTCTGTGGTGGGTATGTGATGGAACAATTCACTTGGTCTTACGTCTTCTAGTGGCGCCACCTGATGAGCAGTGTGGACATCAGTCACAGCGCCCTCTACAGGGATTTGACTGTCCTTCAGCAATGCTCCGTTAGCAGGACTTTGCAATTGTTCTGTCTGCAACATAGCACGCTCAACGGCATGAGACTGGTAGTGTATAATCAAATGTTCCGCTACTGTGAAAGTCTCACCACAGATTTCACAGCGTAACTCTGTACTTCCTGTATGCTCTCGTAAGTGGTACACCAGCGATGGTAACGACTCGCACTGCTGACCGCACACATTGCATGGATATACAACAGTGGACACAGTGGCGTCCCGGGTGTCATTCGAGTCGCTATGAAGCTCAGCTGTTGTGGGGATAAGGTGCTGCTGTTGTGACGCTGCTATACTTTCCACAGCGGCGTTGTACTCCACTGCTTGCTGTTGAGACATTGTAGTAGAAACATTCAGACGATGCGACCCAATGCTGTAATCGGCCGGTTGAGGAATCGCCGCAGTTTCTACAGCCTTACCAACATCTGTTGAAGGATACCGATTATCGGTCAGATTCATTGGGAGGTCGTCAGGTGCAGGAATTTTATCATCATGACTATCAACAGTCTGGGGAATTTCTGTTCCTCCCTCTTTTGGTATCAGTACAGCACGGGCATCTATGTTTCCGAACAGGAAGTTATACTGGTGTTGTAGGTAATCGCGCCTAACCATGTCCGATATGACATCAAACTTTGTTTCGTCCTCGCTCAATGCTGTGCTTGATTTTCCTTTAGCATCTTGGTATTGCAAGCCTGCAGAACGAGCAACGTCGTATTTTTGAATCTGACTCAAATATGTCGGTGAAAACGCTGCTTGATAGGCTGCTGCTGTCAGATCAATGTTTCTTTGTTCGTTATGTGCCGCGTCTGACTTATCGCCTGTTCCTTCCTTCACCATGACAGCCGTCTCATGAGAGTCGATGAAGCGTATGTTACTCAGATCTTCTGGTATATTAGACTCCGCCGTTTTATTTTCTAAGCTAACATTAGGTTGAAAATTTGGCTGGTGGTTTTCATCCAGATGACGATTCCGTAAAATATCATGGGCATAAAGCAACGCAGAGTCCAGTTTTTCTTGGTGTGTACTTGAAGGGATTGTATGTTGTGGGGTTGAAATAGCGTGTGTGGACACGGAAGCATCCAACGGCGCCGACTGCATGTGAGTTGAGCTGTACGTACTAGAGCTAGACTCGTCTAATTCTGGTGTCTTCTGTTCTAGCTGATAATTCTGTATAGCCTCAGATAATTGGTCCGAAACATCCGGCTCATCTTTGATTTTTACTGATTTTCCTTTTAAATGTATCTGAACATGCCGATAGAGTGATCCCCCCTGGGGGAATCTTTTACCGCAGTATTTACACTGATATGGTTTTTCGCCTGTATGAATTCTTGTGTGTATCATCAAATGCTGTTTCTCAATAAATCGCTTCCCACAAGTTGGACAAGCATGCGGCCGCTCGCCTGTGTGGGTCATGACATGTCGGCGTAGACAGTAACTGGTTGTGAAGCTCTTCTGACAGTAATGACAAAGAAATGGTTTCTGACCTCTGTGTGTGCGCGTGTGCCGTTCCAGGGTGATTGGAGAGTTGAACTGACTCTGACAATAGTCACACTTATGTCTCTTATCAGTCACAGCCGCAGCCATAGCCTCCAGTTCTTTGTTAGATAAGACAGACAGATCAACGTTTGGAGCGGTTATCTGCCCCAGAGAGTTCCCAAAACCGTTTTCCACAAAATTTGTAGCCAGCTCCCCTTGTTCTTTCTTCACTTGTACATTTGGTATTGAGGCGTTTTTAAACTTTCCTAGAGGAGCTTCCTTTGTTACTTCTAATTCTTCCTTATTTGGTGCTGAAGTTGAGGTAGATTCTCCATACTTTCCCGGAATTATCTCCCCTCTTTCTCCGTTGCTTTCCCCTTCCGTTCCTTCAAAGTCACTGCCTTCCATCTGTGTCATGGAAGATTTCCGACTCTCTAACTCGCGAGTGTAAAGCTGCATTTGTAAGTGAAGAGCCTGTGAGAACTGAAGCAGAGGGTTACTCAGTGATGACATACCCTGCATTCCACTGAGAAGAAGCTCAGGGTTAATTTGATTCTCCAACTCCTTAGGAATTTCCTGTGGTTTTGCCAGATGATGTGACAATGTTGGGTGATGGGAGGCGGCTGTACTTTGTTGTGCTACGGTTACTGCTGCAACTTGCTCTGGAGTAGGCGACTCTTTAAGCTCTGTTTTCAAAGTTAAAGATTCTGGTGATGCCTCTTTGTTGTGCGTCTGAAGATGGTTGTGCAGCGTTCCGTACTGTGTGAAACTTTTCGAGCAAACGTGGCATTTATAAGGTTTCTCTCCGGTATGTATCCTAATATGACTCTGTAGATGCTGTTTCTCAATGAAACCCTTGTGACAGTATGGACACCTATGTGGTTTCTCTCCCGTATGCAACATGATATGACGACGCAGACAGAAACTAGCACTAAAGCGTTTACCACACACGTTACAACGGTAGGGTTTCTGTCCAGTGTGGTACTTGCTACAGTGAGATTGTAGTTCAAATATCGAAGCACACTTGATCAGACAAAATTTACACTGTAGGCCGTCATCACCAGATTTTGATCGACCTGGTGACAACTGTGAGGGATCCATCTTGCTAAGAAGATATTCCATCTCCTCCTGTTTTTGACTTTCAGTCTTCATTTCTTCTTCCGCAAGCATGGGATCATCATTTTTGAGATTCTGTTTCATTAAATTTTCATCATGAGCCACATCCCCTGGATCTGTATCTTGAAGATGTTTTTCATTTTCCTCTGTAGCCAAAATTCCAGCAGGCATTTCCTGAACTTGTTCCATTGAAGAGCTCTGCTTTGACATACTAGTGTGTTGTATGGCACCAATACGACCTTGTGGTTGTATTTGACCTTGTTGAGAATGAATGTGACTGTGTGCCTGACTGTCAGTATGACCTTGCGAATGACTATGACCTTGTCCTTGTGAATGGTCATGACCATGTTGGTGGCCTTGAGGTTGCCCTTGTGTAGGAAGGTCAAAGTTCATGTTGGGAATGTTACCAACCTGGCTCTGACCACTAACAGCCTTACTCAGATCTAATTCTAAATTTGGAGGATGACCTTGAACTTGTGTTGTGACCTCATCTTGACCATCCTCCTCGGTGTCTGGCCCTTCAGTGCTGATCGCTAATCCCTCCTCTGCAGAAAACGATCCTGACCCATCCATTTTTAAGTCACTTTCACTGTCCATAGGGTATGGTTCTGATCCAGGTTCTGTGGGTTTGAAGCACCTTCCATGCCTCTCACGGTGTTTATACAAAGATCCGTGTTGTGAGAATTTCTTCCCGCAGACCTCACAAGCATATGGTTTCTCTCCAGTGTGCACACGCCTGTGGACCTCCAGATTCTGTTTACCAATAAAACCTTTCCCACAAATGTCACACTTATCAGGACGTTCGTTATTATGACTCATAGTGTGACGACGAAGTGCGAAGCTGGTTCCAAACACACGACCACACGTATCACAATTGAACGCCTTTCCGTTGCCAATACTCAGTGCATATTTTTGCAATTCACTTGGTGAAGCACCAGACATGTCTACTCCATCCAGACCCTCTGCATGCTGATTTTCAATTTGTGACGACGACGACGCCTCTTGGTATTCAGTTTGACGGTTTAGTTTCTCCACCAGAGTCACAGCTGCAGCTGTCTCCAAACTGGACTGCGTGGAAGTTGCGAGATTACTCTGCATTTGAACGGCTAAATTTTCCTCTGTTTGTCGGGCCTGCTCCAAACCCAATCGTATACTGGTTTCATTTTTCTCTACAGAAGGACTCAGACTGAACCATTGGCCGGTTTGTCTGAGTTGCGACAAGGCTGATTTTAATGTCACAATACAGGTATATAACTCACGTTTGGTATGAGTCTCTATATGGTTCTGTAATGAGGTATGGTCAATGAAATAGTTGAGACAGACCTGACACTGGTTACCATCCATGGTATACACCTTGATGTCAGATCGGTTTTATCAACCTTCAGCGACTCCACAACTCTTCCGTGTCATCCTCCTTTGTTATTACAAATCTTTAAATTAAAATGTTCTATGTTGAATAGTGCAATCTCAATTCTGGTCTCTGTATCATTTTTTTCACGTTAATTTACAGATCTGTAAGGATTTTTAACACGATCCTGGGTTTGTTAATAGCACTGTTGTCGGTTCTTCTCCTTTAAGGGAAGAGTTCCAAGGAATTCATTCCATTTTTGTTTCGTCTCTTCTGACGAAACTGGAATTGTCTTTAGAGTCATTTAAACAGCACAAGTGAAATCTTCTACCAACAAATTTCAGTAATCATGTATCATCTTAATGTATTTGTTTTCCAGTAGATGATAGACACGCCGTGTCCAGAAGTCTGTTATCTGTAAACACAGGAGACTTATTGGAGAGGAGTTTTAATCCAAACCGGGAAGAATTTCCCAGACAGAAATATCCTAGATTTTCCATTTTCTTGCAGAGCTTTGTTATCCTCAGCCAAGGTCAGCAATTATACCACACCCTTAATTAGAAAAGAAATCAGTATTAGAATACATAGAATATGTAATTATATCTTAATTTTACTGAGTTCATTACTTTACTTAACTCATTCACCCCTAAAGAAATATTTGAATTTCTCCAATTCAAAGGTTGGAATAGTTCATTATGAAATTTCAGGGGTGAATGATTGAAATAATTTAGCTTGGGTAGTTCTATATAATACAAATACAGCTAAAGTTGAACTAAGTTTATCTTTAAATGTTGGATCCTAGAAATAATGTTTGGATCTATGTATATAATACCTGAATAAATGAACTTACAGTATATGTGAAGTAGAAAAGTATGAAGAAAATAATGCAGATGATGACAATTATTCCATGAATAATTCAGTTTAACATTTACAGAAATATCTTCCTCATGTTTAAGTTGCAGTTATGTAAGTGCATATGCTACAAGTTGTATTGGGATTGGTGTTGGGGATGGGGGATGGATGGCACCAGGGACCCCACTGAGTAACTCACTGGGCCATTGAAGCAAAACTTAGATTAACAGAATCTTACATTGGAGTGGTCTGTGGACTTCAATTTTCATTATATTTTGTACTTATTATAAGATATATTTAGGGGATAACCTTACTGTATTTTAAAATTTGCAGTGGTATATCATGCTTATACTAACGCAAATTAAGTCTTACTGGCTCCTATCTGCGTGGCCAGTAAAACTTAATTTGCGACAGTATAATCATATAAAGTATAAAGTCAAAACAAGAAACTATTTCAAAAGCCGACCTCACTGGCAGACTTGTCTGGAATATAATTCCATGACATCATAGCGTGTGTAGGCAGTCTTTCCTCTGGGAAAGACAGGTTTATCTTTTCACGGGTCAGTTCATGTCTTTCACGGTTAAGTATGGGAGAAAAACTCTCAGTCACTTGCGTTTGCTGTAATTGTTAAATCAGGATTTCTTAAATATCACGTAGATGTAATTTTATTATACGTATATGACTCAATAAAAAATAAAATATGGGTCTAAATATATATGGGTGTCATGGAAATCATATTAAACATGGTGTCATCAAAAGTAAGTCTATATTTGGTCATGCAGGCCATATTTAGAAATGGATAATTTTGATGAAATCATGTGTGAACTGTCTTGGCCTTTTTTTTTTTTTTCAATATGGATATTGCTAATTTTGTGAAAGAGCTATTTTTATTGCAGTCAGGATTCTGCACTATTTTGATAACATTATAATCATATGAGGTGTTGATTATATGTTTAAGTGTAATCTTACAGATTGAAAACTTTTGATTTCGTCCATTAGTCGGCACAGGACCAATTCATGGCTGTAACGAAGCATTACAGGTATATAAAATTGTCTTGTCATCAATAGAAGCGACATTATAACAACTATATTTGTTACTGCTATACTATAAATGCGTTGAATTAGCAGATTTCAAACTGTCACTTAAGATAATATTATATAACAGAGTCAGGATGAGTAGCAGTGTGTGGAACAGAAAGTTACAGTTACTCAGACTAACATTATATATACATGTAGCTATACATGTATGTACTTACTTAAAGCTCAACCACCTGAACTATATTCTAAAATGTCTAGATAAAAGTAAAATTTATTAAATAATTTTCATTTATAATGACAGATACATTGACAGACTAATTGCTAACCTAAGTTAACTTGGTTTAGCCAGGCACAAATTGAGGATAATTGTGGGCGGAGTTACCTTTCGCGTGACCTATTTAATTTACACACGAGATTTGTGGCAAGAAATACAGTTTAAACTTTGAAATCATAACTGATTTAAACGAAATAGTAGCTGTCATAACGAACGTAACATTGTCATGTGAACTGGAACGCTGTCTGAATATATTTACTGTAAGTTTGATATGAACAAATATCGATGTCAACCGCTTGGACGGTGTAATTTGTAGAATTAACTCAAGACTCCAAAGCCATAAACTAACTTTGTTTTCTTATTAGAAAGAGTTAATATGGCAAAGTTTGGTTGCAATTGTGTATAAAATTAACAATATAACATTTTAAAATATATGATGAAGTAATTTCATATGAATAATATCAAATTCTTGAAACGAAACTGAATGATTTACAGAAATTGATTCTGCAACCAAACTTGGAGAAGCAGGAAACTCGAAAATATGGATGACTATTTCGGACAAACAAAACATTTCTGCCATCACGCGCATTGTCCATTAGCTACTTAAATAAGTAAAGTAGCCTTAGCAACCTCTAGACTTACAAAAAATATCCTCCATTTTGTAGTTTATGCCGATTTTTTAGCTGCAGCTTTGTTTACACACGAACAACAAAGGTGGAAAACGGGAAATGATGCTTTACGTCTAATAAACAAAGGGGGTGATCGGATATAAAATTCCGGAAGGAAACATCGATGTGTTTTTGAGAAGCACAACACATACTCCTAAGTTATTTGCCACCATGGAGATATCTTCAGTTTCGAAACTATGATTGTCAGCAGAGACGGGTATAATACGTCTCTGTTATCAGGTTAAAAAACGAACAAAAATACAAACGCCGTTGAAAGGGAATTTGAAGAAAAAACCTTTTTATAGAAATAAACGAGTTGGAGGTATTTCTCAAACGTAATTACTTTCAAAAGTTCTAGTCCACACAGTTATCCATAGCTTTCAGGCCGAAATAATTGGCCAAGAACAGGAAAACTTAACGAAACGGTAAAAATACATAATATGTAACACGTACCTATAGAGAGTTATGGAGCAGAGTCTGGGCTTATAGAAACATTATCTGTCTTTTAGATCTCTGAGTTTATGTCAGAAATCGCTGAGGACCGGGTTTGGGGCCGAGGTGGGGATTCTTCATCTTTAAACCTTCCTCCGTCAATATTGACGATTATGGAATTAGGACGGGAAGGGTGGTGTAGAAAAAAACACTCAGCAAAAATAATTTGCAATCCTATTAAATTCTTGATTTCTAATGTGAAAGAAAAATTGTATCTGCTCACTACATTTACCCACGGACTTAAATAATCTAATCTAATTCCGTGATTTAATTCTATATAAATACTGAACATTTTCTCTTCTCTTATACATGTAATGCACACAAACACTCAATGCTCATGAGAACATTTAGTTATGACATTTTGGACAAAGACAAAACTATTAAAATGGCTACATTGGTCACAACAAGAGGAAACTCCAAAAAGCTTTTCAAGAGAAGGATGAGGCTCAACGTAACCAAGAACCTGTACAGTAGTAGGGTCGTGGACGTCAGGAACTCTCTCCCAAATATAGTTGCAGAAGCCCCCTCTCTGAATAGTTTTAAATCCCGGCTAAACAATCACTGGCATCATTATCACCAAAAATGTGTATACCTACATGTTACTCACAACCGGACATGATTAGAGAACAGTATCAAGATCCGTCCCAAGAAGCTGGATCAGCTTACATCGACTTCGACACTACATGAAAACTACATGACGTGGTTGCCGGTAGCAGTTGTCAATTCCATTATAGGCTCATACATATCTAGGACTAGAGAATCACATCACATTACCAAAGACGTAATACTACAATATATACTGTGTTATGTCTTTGGCATAACTTCTCTTTTAAACTTGTTGAAAATGGTGACCACAATGTCATTTGATAGACGGATTACAAAATAAGAATATTCCTTTTGGAAAACTCCTCTAGAGCTTAACCACATGTGTGAGTGTATTTAAGACAGTAGTTGTTTTATGTCTCATATCAGAGACGTATAATACATGTATTATACGTCTCTGCTCATATGTATATGTTTGACAAGATATCTTGGAAAAGTAACATCGATATAAGGCTATCGAATAATCTATTCGACTAGTCATGTGTCTTACCCTCGGTGGGGGCGGGGCAGTGGGTCTCGCAATGCAGATGCACGAATAATCTCCCTGGAACAGCGGCCGCTCAACCTGCTCCCTCTCTAGATNGGGCCCCCCGGGGGGGGGGGGTAACCCTGTTGCCTACTTACCATCACCGACAAGACAGTGAAATCTAACCAAAACAACAACAAAAAACCCAAAGGTAACCGGTTAAAAATGAAAAACCGAAAGAATTATAACATTCATAAAAATGATGGGAAAAAAACAATTTTGGAAAAATGAATATTTTTACGCGTTTTGTTAAATTCCGGCATCTCCGGAAACGTTTCTAATTTTAGTAGAAGTGATATGTCTTCCGTTTCAACTTTGTTTATTTTGCGCCTTCAAGAAGATCGAAATATATTGTAAAAGGTAGCAATGCATACAAAAACTGCATTTATCAACCAAACGTAAGAAACATCATACGTTAACAATAGTTTGCTAAATTCAAGAATGCATCTTGGGCAAATCGTTCAACGGTTGATTCTTTACACTGACTCTTACACTGTTATTTACCTTGTATTGTATGTCTCTAAGTTACTGTAATGGTAGTTGGTTGGCGGTTGCAATTAAGGCACAGGGGCCTGATAATCAATAACATATAAATATTTATATATATTTTGATCCCTCCGGATGTGTACGTTTGAGGGGCTTACAGCTACACTATAAAAATGTCATCTTTCAACATAAACAAGTCCAGTACACTCTGCCGATTGTATACAAATATGTAGCTGTAAAGACCTATAAAAGCTCCATGAACCTATCTGAAATAGGTCTTTTGAGCTATTTTCATGTGATTTTATTTTTATAAGGAAAACGAAACAAAGTCGCTTTTATAACAAAAGACATTAAATATAAGTATTCCTTTTAAGAAATAATGATGTAAAAAAACGAAAATTTAACATTTATGAAAAATGAAAATAAACATCTAAATGTATGCTATTTGTAGTCAACATTACAAATATCATTATCAATACAGCTATAATATATAGGTCTTTATAGCTATATATAGTTCAATCGGCATCTAGTGTACTGGAGCTGATGAAGTATGATCTTTGGGGGGATTCAGTTTTATTGAGTGTTGATCTAAATAATTACTCAATACACAAGAGATCTATACCTAATTCTGTGATTTATTCTCATACCCCGAGGCTTGAGGCAAATCAGTGTTCGAGCTTCCTCGTTGCCATATAATGAATCAGTCCAGTTCCTTTACATACATGTATGTCTTTGTACCACCTAACTGCGATAACGTAGCTTCTGACGACGAGACATTGTTGATATGTTCGGTTGTAGCTGCGATAACGTAGCTTCTGACGACAGGGCAGAAGAGGCTAATATTAACATAAGTACTTCATACCACCTAGTACTAATATTAGTACTTCATACCACCTAGTACTAATATTAGTACTTCATACCACCTAGTACTAATATTAATACCCGGCCTCCTCAGCCCTGGCTATGCAATATATCAAAAACATCTCGTCGTCAGAAAGCTACATTATCACAGCTACGTACAACCCAATGCTGAAAAAAAGAAATGTTTTGGCATATTTGGAATAATGTTGTTAGCAGGGGGAAAACTGAGAGAGGATGCTATACAAGTCAATCTTTCATGAAAGATGTGAAATTCTAATGCATTTTCTATCCAAAATAATAACCCTCTTCATATACATTTGTACATTGTTATATATATATATATATACCACTCCAATTGTTATATACATACCACTCCAATTGTTATATATATACCACTCCAATTGTTATATATATACCACTCCAATTGTTATATATATACCACTCCAACAAATATGGTAGGCTGCTCACCTTCACATGTATGAAATAGAAATGTTCAAGTGTTCTTATTTGAGTCATTGGTGACTATGTTATAACTGAGTCAGATTTACCAGTATATATCAGATTGAATCTTTTGTGAAAGTTATTGTTGTGAGCACAAAATCGTTCTATTCCAATTACCTGTACATGTTCTGCCCATGTTAGGTACCAACAGATCACCCTGTACTCAAAGAGTCAGTCAACGTTAGGCCTAATTAACGATTAGGCTTTGTGTGATTATATGTTTTCCCAACATAATTAATTACTTGACTGAATATGTTTATTAAGTTAACCTTCATAAGGTACCTACCTGGTTGGTGCTATCAGTAAAGCTTGACAATTTTCCCAGGAAAAAATTCTCAAAATATATATTTTTTCACCCAAAAGATATCTGTGTACTATACATGAGTGCACACAATAAGCGGGTATTTACGGTACATATACACAAAGTGGTCTAGCTTCAATTTGTAGACAGGAACATACTCTACAGGGGTGACCTTTATGTACTGGAAACATTGGAGTCAGTTGATTTCGGGTGACTAGATAGCTCAATTGGTTAGAGTGTCAACTACAGTTCCGAAGGTCCAGATTCAAATCCAAGTCTGGGTGCATTTTTCTTTTCCTGTTACACACATATATAGAGAGATATTTGAATTAAAGTAGTGACAATACCAGCCCTTATTTCTTTTTTGATTTTATGTAAATTAAACTTGTTATATATTTAGATGTACATACATTGTGTATATCAAAATATATGCACACTTCAGAGGTAAATCCTATAGCACTCAACAAATTAACGTTATTTAACACTCATTACAATAGTTTAATTTTAATACTGGCTAAATACTCTTCATGTATGTTGCAATATTCCGTCTTTGCGTATTGCAGAGTTATCTTCTCTTGGGAGCAGGTATTGATTGTTACGTCACTTGTTTATGAGAGAAACGTCATCAATTTTTGTGAAAACGACATAATTTTCTCACACAGACCAATGACGTAACAATCAATACTTGCTCCCAAGAGAAGATAACTCTGCAATGCGCAAAGACGGAATATTGTTTTTTTATTACCACACATAGCCTTATCTAATGCTTTCAATGTCGTTCTACTTTCAGCATGTGATGAACCATCATTGGTTTGCTACATACCTGTGGAGAGATATAATACACTACCAAGGTGCTGAATAGGTAAGAGTTACAAGTACATTCCCTTGTACACATTCTCTAGATCTGTAGATCTACATTATATGCAATGCACTATGTTTATTACATTTTTGCCAATGAAATATCGAATTCTATTAACTTGATAAAACTGATATCTTTCACACTGAAAAATATCAAAAGCGGTATTGACCAATCATAACGGTATCTTCTATTCGCTGCATTCAAAGGCAACTTATTTTTGTTCAGATTCAAACGAAGCGACGGTAGAATAAGTGGTTGTTATGGTAAATGTTTGGTACACACACTTTAATATTTACATAAACATACAATTATTAACATTTTTATAAGCAATCATACCAGAAAATAGCAGAAAGTGTCGGAACTGCGTTAAGTATCCCATTCAAAATTGTGCGCAGCCTTGTTATGAAGCGTGGCGTCTTTAGAATATGGCGCTAATTATTACGCTTCTGATTCCCGCCCTTTTTTAAATGCATTACAATTTTCATGTTTTATGCTTTAAAAATGTAATAAATAGAAAATTTAATGGTGTGTTTAGTAATAACAAAAATATTTCACTCGTGTGGCTAATATTTTGATATTCCTCACTCTAGAAATATATTTGTTATTACTGAAGACACCATTAATTAGCCTCTATATATGACATAGTGTGTTGATTTGTTTGGATGACTTTGTTTTATAATTTTGTATGATACAGATTGTCGGTCCAGTATAAATTACATTTATCTGAATTTCTAATTCATAAATTTGTACCAAAAAGTGGATGTGAAAACAAAATTAAGTAATCAATAGTCTATGGTGTGGTAAAACCTTAATAAACTGTTTGTTGTAGTGATTCACTGTCAACATTGTCTGTCATCTGAAAACGTTTTCTTTAAACAACCTTTCATCTAAAATACTGAACAGATTTCAATCAAATTTATGGATCAAAGTTATACATTGTATACATAAAGGTTCTGATGGCGATCCTTGGACCTGAGTGGTCAAATGAGTGAAGCAGGTTGATTTTCATTAAACATTATCTCTTCCCTAACTACCTGTCAGGTTTGAACCATGTTTTTGTAATATCATCCTTTGCCCTGAGGTGCTGATGGACGGTCACAACAGTTCAATTTGGTTGATATGCTTAAAAAACATTTCCAAAGAAACTGCTGGGCAGGTTTCAACCAATTTGTGGTTGCATCTTTTTTGCTCATTCACAATGAAAGTTCTGTGAAATAGCTAACATTCCAGGGGGGCTGATCATGATGACTCTTTTCGCGTTACTAAGTAGATTTCAAATTGAGATAAAAGGTTCACTTCTAGAATTGCCAAACTAACAATTCAAGGCTCTAGGATCTCTTCATTAAATAACTTAAGGTCAAATGAGTGTATTAGTAAACGGAAATAAGAAGTACATTCCTAGTTGAAAATCCAATGTAGGGAGACAGTATCACAATTTCTGCATATTCTAATGAGTCAATTATATATTGTTTAATCTTAAACTGATGAATATTGTATGTTTATTATTGACAGAACAGTGTGTTCTCTCAATATTAAAGTATTTCAAAGCAATCCAGGCATAAATTCAGGTGTGTTTTTTATCAATGAGTCACATTTGTCCATTTTTCTGTAATTCAGGAAACCGGTTACCTATTTCACTACTGTGAAGTTTTTCAAGTAAGATAACTCTTACATGCAATTACTATATTTAATATGGTTTATTATAAAATGTCAATTTTTAATCGTTTATAGATAATTTATTTTACATAATTTAAGCATTTATTAAATTGATATATATTAATGCAATACTAATCAATGCTAGTATCATTTTTACTGACATTATTTTGCAGAAAATAGTGTCTTTCATTTATTTTTCAAAATTCACTCCTTTTTACATAACTTTCCATTTAAAATCCTTAAAATTCTGACAACCCTTTATTTTCTTGCGGCAGAAAAAATTCTTTACTTCAAAGCAATATAACTACAAAATTTGAAGAAATTCTACTGAAAAATGGTGACACAATCCTATTACCTTAAAATGTTTCAGACCCTTTGAATTTTGTGGGTTAAAATTTTCTTTAAAGTTCAACAAATAAAGATGTCAACTGTGAACTAAGAAGTGGTATGCAGTGGCGTCTTGTTTACTTATGTTGTAAAAGATATGTATAATAATCAATTTTTCATAAAAATTTCAGAAAATGGTGGTCATTAATTTGGACTAAACTGAAAACAACATCACGGCCAAGATGATAGATGGTATGGACTCAATCGTGAGGCCACAGAGCAGATGTCTTAACAGAAAGTTTTGATGTGAACAAAGGAAACAGACTTTAACATTACAATGAACTAACGTTTTAATTCTTTGTGGGCCAGCATAAAATAATATGGAGGAAGATGTGGTACCAGTCGCAGAGGATGAGGTTAATTTTGATCCTCAAGATCTTCTGGAAGACCCAGCCAGACAAGAGATTTCTCAGACCTCCATAGAAATTATGCAACTTCTCGCTGAATGTGAAGGCGGACATGAAGTGTTTGGAAATATTCACCAAGGTAATTTCATTTACGATAGTGCAAGTCTGGTTGGTAGCTCTTCGGAGTTGTCAGACATTTTTCAAGATGACAGCCAAATCAATATTCATTCTGGGCACAGACTGGACGATATTTTAGTAAAAAGTATTGATTCATTGAATAAATCTCCTAAAAAGAAGACCTCACATTGTCAAGATGATTCATCAGAGAAGAAAAAACCTAGGAATTCGAAAGAAAAATTGAATAAGAAAACCTCCAAGAAATCTCCAAAATCTAAAATCAGTTCTTCAAGAAGAAAGAAGGGCAGTGAAGGGGATATTGATGGAAAACCCAAAAGAAAACGGCGAGTGAAATTATCAAAATCACCAATATCTGACGATGTTGAATGTGGTACCGGGAACATTTCTGGTACACTAGACAGTACTTCATCTCTGCATTACGAAAAAAACTCGAAATATAAAATTGGAGAGGATGGAACATATACCTGCTATATATGCGGGAAAAAATTCCCCATTCTAAAATCTCTTCAGATTCATTCTACGATACATCGACAGAAAGTGAGGCTGGGGAGAAAGTCACAGAGTAAAGAGGATTCCGAACAACACCGAAGTGGAAGGAAAAGCAGCACCTCAACAATTAAAAATACTCCCCTGCATTGTAGTGCTAAACTTGGACACAGTAGTTTAGTGCACTCTGGTAATACCATACCTGCTGCAAGCGTCTGTGTTTATGGAATGTCACCGGAACGTGAGAGACTGAAATTAAATCAGAACAGATATGATGTCTGCTCCGAAATTTCTACCATCAATGGTGTCCATAGCAAAACGACAGGAAAGGTTTCATGCATTAGAAATTTAAAATGTTCTGGCAGTGGTGATTTCAGCAGCACAAGAAAAGGGAATGCATCATGTTCTAAAACATTGGAGTCTTTATCAAGACATGGGACAGAAGAGTACTTGACACTGAGTTCAAAGAAGTCCAAGATAGGCTGTAGAAACAGACATTCTGCCGTTAAAAGTGGTGATGATCGGGAAGGTTCAACAACTGAGAAAACAGCAGGCAGACAGACATCAAAACATCAGAAAAAATCTGTGATACCAATGGGACAGAGTTCTGGAAAATCTGTGATACCAATGGGACAGAATTCGGGAAAATCTGTGATACCAATGGGACAGAGTTCCGGATCAGCATGTAATTACACCAAGAAAAGAATTGCCTCGGAGAGATATAGTGGAGAAAAACAGCCAATGAAAAGGGTCTGTTTGCTGGATCGATTTAGGGGTGACACTGGATCAGATAAAGCTGGACCAAGTCAAAGTTCTGATTCAGTCCATCTGTGTACCGTGGACACCAATCCAAACACAAATGGTGGGCTGTTACAGCTTTTTGATGTTGACAGTTCGCTGAAAGGTTCGAAAAAAGGAGGTCGGACACGAGTACGAATCAAACGAGGACAGTTGGTTAGGAAGAGGACAGTGGAAACCCATAAATCATCGGCTTGTGAATCTGGACATATGTTTACGGGGAACAGTACAAGGGGAAATACTCATCACAGGGAAGACAGTGTTGTAGGGAGTAGTTCAGGAAGAGAAGTCTCCGCTAGCACTGACAGTTATAAGAACTCCTGTGTCGTCTCGAGCTCTCGTAAGGAAGCTACACAGTGCAATTCATTTGATCAAAATGATGACCGATGTCAGAAGATCCCAACATTACATAACACAAATACATTTTCTATGCACAGTTCAGCTTTGGATTCAAATTCAAATTTGAAATGTTGTCAAGCAATTAGTCCGAAACAACACAAATGTCATTCACGAAAACGGCAACATGTTGGCCAAATGAGGAGCATCAACGAAGGGTCAGGATCCGGAGGTGACAACACTTTTCAGCAAAATCCCGAGGAAAATTCTACAAAAAGGAAAAGTATTTTAACAACCACAACCTCGGGAGTCTTGTTACAGGATCACAGTAATAATGAGAAAATACTACACAACGGTCAGAGAACAGTAAGGGAGGGCGAGGCTTTGAACCGTGTAATGGAGGATAATGATATCATTATGTCAACAACTGTTCTAAATCAAATTCCTGCAATGCCAAGATTTATTGATGACAGCCGTGCAGAATCAAAGTCAAAGGACGAGGAGAATGCTAGTGATTGTAGTCCCAGCAATAGTTCTGACGATGAAAGTGAACCTCTCGTTTTATATAAACAGTCATGTAGGACTCTGCCTCTTTGTGCTCTGTTGAACTTGGCAAGACGTCAAAAACTTGCACATGACTTGTTTCGGACTATCCATGGTGCTGTTAAAGGAAATATTGTCAAAAACTCATGTGCTGAGCTGTCTGTTGTTGGGTGTGAACAGGAGGATCAACAGGGGATGTGTAGAGGCGAGAATGATTTGTCGGGAACAACTAAGAATATTACGTCACTTTCACAGGAAATCAAAGACCTATCACCTCCTAAAGTGACTGGATTTATGTCTATTTATGACAAGGGAGAAACTGCTGGAGAAAAATTTGTAAATCTGAATAACGGTAGTTCAAATTTGCCAAATGATAACCCTGTTGAGATTACAAGTGTGTCTGAATGTTTGCTGGTGGACCCAAAAAAGTCTGTAAGTGTTTCAGAATCAGCCACTGTCTCGGCTGAACAACAAAAGTCTGATAAAATGCCAAAATCATCAGGATTGTCTAACAAGTCACATTCTTTTTATCAGAATAGTTCTGTGTCTCCCTCCACTGACCAGGTCGAGTCTGCTTCACCATTAGAAAACATAACATTGGCTAATTGTCATGAGGAACAACAGGGAGGTAGCCTCGAAAAACATCGGGGAGAGAAATCACATCACCATGGTAACTGTCTACCCCAAACATTGGCTACAAATCGAGCTAACTTGCCACCATTAACAGAAGTGGTACAGTGTGATGTGCCAGTAGGTATGTGTGTTGTAGTGGAAGGAAATGACATGGTAACACAATCAAATATTAGGACTGATAGTGAAGTACGGGAGTGTCCCAAACTTTCTATCTCAACTGACTGTACACTGTCTTCACTGAAAAGCATAGCCGATGGTAATTGTATAGAGGTCTCGAAATCGTGGCACTGTTCTACTGGTTCAGAAGGTGATGAAGAGGATATGTCTGTCGAGGCCGCGGCACTGAAAAAGGCTGGAGAAGATGCAGACAATGACGTGTTTGACAAGAATCAACTTCATGGGAATTTTGTCGATGTTTCTGTCAACAGATTTTTAGACAACAGTTCCGTAGATCATGTGCCAGATAGATGTTTAGATGATGTTTCAGTAAGCTTAGAGGAGATCAAGAGTTTAGATGACCATAAAGATTATGACCATAAAAAATCCATTACTTCATCAAGAGACCCTCATGAAGGAAGTAGCATATGCTTTTTGAGAGGGTCAAAATTGGGTTTTAAGCCATATCAGATTGGAGTTCAGCAGAATTTACCAAGGAATGTCATGTCTACCTGTAATATTGTCGGGACATTTGCTGATGACATGGTGACGGGTATGATCAATGTTATTGATACGGAAACCAACTCTTATGACTCTTCCTCTGTCTCGTCTAAATTCCATGATTACTGTGCAAGACAGATATCATATCAGAACTTCCTTCAGTGGAAACTGGATGAAAATATATATAAAGAACTTTCCCAGGACAACAGCATATGTGCCAGAATGCTCTCCTACCAAGCTTTTCACAGGACGAAGTCTCAAAATCTGTTTTCATCTGAAAAGCATTTAGAAGGGATTCCTTGTGATCATGACTGTACAACTCTCCAAGGGGATGAATGTTCAGGACACACATTGACAGAGATAAAACAGTCCTATCATAGCTTGGAGCAGGCAGAGTTAACAGGATCAGATCGCAAAGTTACTAGGAGTGGGGAACAGCCAGTTGTGATGGGATCAGACAACACAGTTACTAGGAGTGGGGAACAGCCAGTTGTGATAGGATCAGACAACAAAGTTACTAGGAGTGAGGAACAGCCAGAAGTTACTACGAAGGGGAACCAGCCAGCTGTTATGGGATCAGACATTACTGTTACTAGGCAGGGGGAACAGTTGTTAATAGCAGAATTAGATGCTGCCGTCAGTGAGGGCGACTGTGCTAACAGTAACAGTGTTTGTGCTATAAGTGAGGGCATCTGTGCTATCGGTGAGGGCGACTGTGCTAACAGTGACGGTGGTATAAGTGAGGGCGACTGTGGTATAAGTGAGGGCGACTGTGGTATAAGTGAGGGCGACTGTGCTATAAGTGAGGGCGACTGTGCTATAAGTGAGGGTGACTGTGCTAACAGTGTCAGTGGTATAAGTGAGAGCGACTGTGCTATCAGTGAGGGCAACTGTGCTAACAGTGACGGTGGTATAATTGAGGGTGACTGTGCTGTCAGTGAGGGTGACTGTGCTTTCAGTGAGGGCGACTGTGCTATCAGTGAGGGCGACTGTGCTAACAGTGATGGTGTCGACGGTATAAGTGAGGGTGACTGTGCTGTTAGTGAGGGCGACTGTGCTAACAGTGACGGTGTCGACGTTATAAGTGAGGGCGACTGTGCTGTAAGTGAGGGCGACTGTGCTAACAGTGACGGTGTCGACGATATAAGTGAGGGCGACTGTGCTGTTAGTGAGGGCGACTGTGCTGTTAGTGAGGGCGACTGTGCTAACAGTGACGGTGCCGGTGGTATAAGTGAGGGTGACTGTGCTAACAGTGACGGTGCCGGTGGTATAAGTGAGGGCGACTGTGCTGTCAGTGAGGGCGACTTTGCTAACAGTTGTGGTTATATCGACAGGAAAATTTCAGCAGTTGGCAATGAAACTTCCTTGGATTCTGAGGATAACAGAAATATCACAAGATCCTATAGTCCTACTGTGGTTTCTACTGGCCTGAATCAGAACATTTCTATCAAGTCAGATACAAAATCATCTCAAATTAACACTCAATTATCTAAAGACCAACAAACGTACCTCGACTACGGATATTTCTTAAAGGGAGTGATACCAGACGACATGACAAATCGGGTATCATTGTATAGTGAAGAATTATCAAATGACAGAGGTGAATCATCTGAGGATGAATGTGATAATCTTGTAAAAACTAACCAAGAGGACACTTGTGCAAGAGTGCAGCCTTTTGAAACAAATATCATGCACAAGTTCTCGGACAAAACAAAATTGTTGTTTCAGGAATATCATGACCGACAACAAAACGCCATGGACATTACCTACAGTGATACTGAGGAGAAAGGTTCTAGACTTGATAGGGTAAACACTGATAATCACACTCAGACGGTGTCAAGTCTGGAGGAAAATGAGTGTTCTGTTTATGAAATGCACATGCTAGGTAGTGTTTCTTCAATGTCTGCAAGCTCAAACTCGACCAATAATCAAAATGAGTTCAAAAGGAACACAGAAAGTGATACAACACATTCAAGCTTTAATGGAACATTTTCTGCACAAAAATTTGGAAATACAAAAGAACCTGCTAGTGTCAACCTAGGAGACATTGACGATTCAGTGGGTTCAAGTTGTGAAGGGTTACCATCGAAATCCGACATGGTGCCATTCAAATCTAGCATGAAGGTATTTAATTTAGAAGACATGGGCCCTTCACTGTTGAACCGACAAAATATTGTGTTGTCCGAGGAGGAACAGCGCTATCTAAAATCGCCTAAAAAACTGTGGTACAGAAATTACATGGGCGGAATATCGACTACCGAGGAGATAAGGGGAGATAATCCCAAAACCTCTTTTGAAACTTCAAGTCATGAGAAAGCATTTGTATTTCTGGAACTGCATGATTCGGAACAACATGATGATATTGAGGATGAACTCAGTAGTTGTGTGGATCCTAATACAGCCACACTTGGTAAGGAAAACACCCCTGAAAAAAACATGGTTGATGACACCAGGGAATGTTCAGAACCGGTTGATTTCAACGGACAGTTGTGCGAAGTGATTGCCAGAAGTGGTGAAGAAAGTCAGACTTGTAACGTGAGCGTACGACAAAATGAGGACGATTACGCCAGTGATACAACTGGTAGATTTGAAGTGTGCTCCAGAATGAGACAATTCAGAAAACGGCGAAGTTGTGCGAGAGCATGTCGCGACGGTTATGTGTCAGGATGTGCACGAAGTAGGGTGTTTGTAAAAAAAACTGATGATAAAAGTTAAGATATGTTGGCCAAATTGTTTAAGTCAAGTTCCGGGTAGCTTAACTATTAATGTTAATGTTTAGAGGAAGTTATTTTCAAAAATATTGGAATCTGTTATTAGTTCAAGGATATATGCAATACTATACAGACGTTATCACATGATATATGTGATTCATTTTGTAGGTTGTAGGTTATGTTAGAGGAATGAGGTTTATTTTCTAACACTTACGAGGTCATAACAGCAATTGGTTTCTGGACATATTTACTATGAATCTCTAACATGTACATGATTCATGGAATATTTCCACGATCCTGATGTTATAATGACCTCATAAATGTTGACGAATAAATTAACCTATTGTCAACATATACACATACATCTTTCACCAGACACATCTTTTAACGACCAATAAAACAGCTGTTTTCTTTCTTTATACAAGCTAGGGGACAATACAACAGTGAGAACAGCATGTTTTTCGTGTGAAAATATGAAATTTCCGTTCAGTTTAAACTATTTATTTCTGGTAATATACAATACATTATCAGCAACGATTCAGAAACAAGTGTAATGTCCGTCTCCATTTGAGGTCCTAGCAACACCATAGCAACAAAACAATCAACATGTAGATCAAAATTCAAAATTTAATTTTTAGATTATCGCACATAATTTGTTTTGTTTGTTTCAAACATTTAATTTTATCTTTAACATGAATGCAATTATGTATAATGTCTGTTTTAATTAGCATAATAACAATACACAAAGGGTGGATATTGTGTCAATACACATTGGGATGAGGTCACCTGTATTATGCAAAAATAAATGTCATTTTTGGTCAATGGGTTCAAGTATACAGAAAGTAGATATTTTTGAAAGTTTGCATTTCGGATTGAGAAAGGAATGGAGGCAGGGTAGTCTAGTGTAAGGACGCCGGGCTCGTGACCGAAGGGTTGTGGGTTAGAGTCACGTCACAGCACTGTGTTGTATCTCTGACCATGATACTTTACTCTGCTTGTTCCAGTCTACTCAGCTGTAAATGAGTATGTGGTTGGGAAGTGCTAGAATTGTTGAATGCTAGCTGTGAACGCTGAAATGGCAGCACTGGCTGTATGGTCCCCAGAGAGTTGAAAAAGGTATTGGCTGGCTGCAAAGGCCCTTTAACTACGGATGATAAAACTAGATGTGATGAAGAGGTATATAAGAAGCTCAAATTATTATTATTATTATTAAAAGTCAACAAAAACAAACACATCTTCTAAATTTGAGATCCAGTTTATCAAATTAACCAACTGAAGAAATCCTGAAAGTTATGTCATCTTATTCTGGTGCATCACACAATCTTCTTAACTTTCTTCAACTGTTTGTATTTATGAAAAAAATAGCCACAATACCACATGTTTTTTTTAATTGTGAATTATTGCTGGGAATCTGTGGAAACTACCAATCATAAACATTAAGATTCCTAGAAATATTTTACATGTTTGTGATTGTGGAACGCCTTTTAGAAAAGATATGATAATTAAAGTAGTATACATCCTTAACCCTTTCACCCCTATGTAGCTTTAATCAACTCTACCATGCATTGATCTGGATAAGTCCATTATGGTCTACAGTGGTGAAAGGGTCAGGGTTAAATATTAACTTAAACTTCATGTGTGGGAATTTCAAATGATCTTGAAGACATATAATAGGGGTTAGCAATAATATTCAGAGTATTTTTCTACATTTACTTTCATTTCATTGATTTTCAACTAATTGTTTTGTAGTTTAAGCACAGATATAAATTTAATTTTGAACTCATTCACCCCTGAAATTTCATAGTGAACTATTCCAACCTTTGAGCTGGACAAGTTCAAATGTGTCTTCAGTGGTGAGGTAAATCAATATTATACAAAACAAAATCTTACTTGGTGTGATAAACTATATAAAATCATTTTAGTTCAACATTGAGGCTTTCTGAACTGATGCACACCTTTCATATTTGCTAAATAAAATCTTTATAAATTAGGATGAACATTTAGGAATACAAAATATTTCAACATGATAATTGCTCCACCTGAACATTGTGCTACCTTGGGATTTGTGTAAGAGTTGCTTCCCTTCAACTATCGGTCTTTGGGTTGTTGTCTCTTATTCCTACACTGTACAAGTTATGATAACTGTTTATGTTTTAAAGATTTTTAGCATGCGTCCGTCCGTCTGTCAACTTTTCCTTTAAAACGCTACTTGTCCTGAACGGCCAAGTAGATTTTGACCAAATTTGGTCAGAAGCATCCTTGGGGGAAGGGGAACAAATTTGGTATAAATGGTGGGTCTGGTCCCCTGGGGGCTGAGGGGTGGGGCCCAATAGGGGAAATATAGCAAATTCTTTAAAATCCTTCTTCTTCTGTAGGAATGAAAGGATTTCTTCCATATTTAGTCTAAAGCATCCTTGGGTTAAGGGGAACTAATTTTGTATAAACGGTGGGTCTGCCCCCCCCCCCAAGGGCCTGAGAGGCGGGCCCAATAGGGGAAACATAGCAAATTATTCTTTAAAATCCTTCTCCTTCTGTAGGAATGAAAGGATTTGGTCCATATTTGGTGTGGAGCAGGAGTATCCTTGGGTGAAGGGGAACCAATGTTGTATAAACGGTGGGTCTGGTCCCCCTGGGGGCTGAGGGGTAGTGCCCAATAGGGACAATATAGCAAATTCTTTAAAATCCTTCTTCTTCTGTAGGAATGAAAGGATTTATTCCATATTTAGTCAGAAGCATCCTTGGGGTAAGGGGAACCAATTTTGTATAAACGGTGGGGCCCAATAGGGGAAAAAATCCTTCTTCTACCATAGGCAATATAGTTATTCATGTATAAACCTAGATATAAATAAAATTTGTATATATTCTTTGTTTTGTACATATAATGTTGTGGCCATGGTTTCATAATACAGAATTTGTTGATAATTATTTTTTTATGACAATAGTGTATGATGAGGAGGGCTGATTAACTAAAGTACCTTAACAGATCAAGTACAGTACTTTTAAATTAACCAAAATTTAAAAGCTGGCATCAAATTATATATATATATATGATTACATGCTTTAGTTATATATTGTTGACTGAAAACAGTTGATAGATTTTGACATTTGTTTGCAAATACCTGCTTTCGGACAGTGATATCTTGGATATTAATAAATGTATTGCCTTTTATTAATTGTCAAATATTTTGTTTGTTATGATAATTTATACCTTGTTAGCTACTGAACATTGCCGTATGATTTTATTACAGGAAATTGATAGCTCAAAAAGTTGGGTAACTTTATATTGTCAAGGGAGATAACTCATGAACTTTTTTTCCCCTTTAATTACAATTTAATAACTTTGAAATTTGATATTTTGTTTAACTTCAACTGTTCTGAAGTACTTCCCATGCAGTGTTGCATCACTATATTATTTTTAAACAACAACAAAAAATATGTTATCGGTGTCAGTAAAGGTATTTTGTCATTAGTAAATAAAAAACCATCAGGTTATCAGAGTCACTGACAACAGGTATTTCACATCACTGGTTAACATAGCACTGTTTAGACTCCTTACTTAAATCCTTATTATAATTTAACTTTTCGAGTTACATTAGTATTACCTGCATTGTGTCTTCTAGTCTGTCAAATGTCAGTTAATAGTCACTAAACTAGCAAATCCACTTTACCGTATTAATATTTTGACCAATATACATTAAAATTTGATCTGGCAAGAAACAGTTACAAAAAAAATGATAAAAAGAAACTTCAAGGTCATATTGTTATTGCTATTATCTGAAAATGTATGATTTTTTCCCTTGGGTAAATATATTATTGCCATCTGTTGCATTGACATGAATAGTCCAGAATTTCAATATTTTTGAAAGCATCAGAAATATATACATGTTCATTAATTGATGTTGAATAAATGTAGTTAGGCTACGACCTGGGGGACACTGACATTAGTGAGAGAAATAATGGCATTTTAAGTTTTATGTGTTTATGTAAATGATTTTTATTTGTTATTTATTTCGTGAATATATCTTTTATGATTTGATGAAAATGCTCTGGAACTGATGTTTTGTTGATAAAAAAATAAAACGTTTTCATAAATATTGCTGTTTGTATTTACTTATAGTTTAGTATACAGTTAAAGTATGGGGTTGAGGGATATAGCAAGTTTCTGGTGTCCCGAGACCAGGTCTATTTCCAGAGGTAAAGACGATGGAAAAAGGCATGGTCAAGGGACACCAGAAACTTATATGTAGGTTCCCCTTGGTCCTTAGCTGTGCAGGGCAACTTCTGTGACTGATCGGATAAACAACATGGCCGCCAGGCAGCCATCTTGGATTTTGATAGTTAAAGTTTGTTATCGCTATGTCTCAAGAAGCACCTGAGGGATCTTTCTCATATTTTATATGTAGGTTCCCCTTGGTCCTTAGCTGTGCAGGGCAACTTTTGAGACTGATCGGATAAACAACATGGCCGACAGGCAGCCATCTTGGATTTTGATAGTGAAAGTTTGTTATTGCTATTTCTGAAGAAGTACCAGAGGGATCTTTCTCGAATTTTATATGTAGGTTCCCCTTAGTCCATAGCTGTGCAGGGCAACTTTTGAGACTGATCGGATAAACAACATGGCCGACAGGCAGCCATCTTGGATTTTGATAGTGAAAGTTTGTTATCGCTATTTCTCGGGAAGTAATGGAGGGATCTTTCTCAAATTTTAAATGTCGGTTCCCCTTGATCCCTCGTTGTGCATGTTATATTTTGAGACTGATCATAAAAACAAAATGGATTAAAAGAAGAACTAAACAGATCTTTCTCATATTGCAATGATCGATTCTATTTCTTTCACATTAAGTAATGTACTAGAAAATATGTGAAATGACAAACTCACTTTGAAGGTTGGCTTTCATACACATCAGTATTAAGTTTAGATCAAAAGCTACCTCAAGGTGCATTTACTGTTAAGATGACTCGATCAAACAGATTAGAGGAAAGAAGAGAAAAGGTTGAACTGACAAAGAACTAATAAAGATGGTACAAAGGTGGGCGCCAAGATCCCTCTGGGATCTCTTGTTATTATACCGATACACACTGGAGAGATAGTTTTAACTAGAAAATATTTGTAAACCATAAGCTGTATAGCTTCACGTCCCAACTACCCTTTTGATGGCAATGGAGCCAAATGCGCGATTCCGAGTTCGGTAGCAAGCTCCGCCCACCTCGTGTGTCGCTTCCGAGTTCGGTAACAAGCTCCGCCGACCTCTCCCCTGATTGGCCCGGTGGAAACACCCGAGTGTAGGTGTGTTTTAGTTCAGAAGGTGTATTTTACTTCCCAGACTAACACACAGGACTAAAACACAGTCGACAAAAGTGGAGATATATTCGATTTAACCAATTACTTGTATATAGAGTAAATAAAGTAGAGGTATATTAATTTAGTTTAAACATATTTTATTGTAAATAATAATGAACGGTTTCAATATCATAAAAATATCCTATCTATCATATGTCTTACAAATAATATAAAATAAATTAATTAAATTAATTTTTCATGGTAAAAGATATTTTGTCACATATAAGATATCTGATATCTGGCATCTCTAGGTCTCGGTAGGCGTCCCTGTCGAATTCCAATGAAATTTTCAGGAAACATTTCAAATAAACACTGTACATACAACACTTTTACCAAAAATATTTTGCAGATGATCCCAGTGAAAATGATTTATTTCTAAAAAAGACATTTAAATACCTAAGATGAACATGACTTTATCCTGTATTCTGTAACTCTTGTAGACTTTGTACGTTGGATAACAAAAACAAAGTCTGGTAAAATAACAGACATGGTTACTTATTATTAGCTCACCTGGCACGAAGTGCCAAGTGAGCTTATGCCGTGGTGCGGCGTCCGTCGTCCGTCGTCTGGTGTCAATATTTTACTTTAAACGACTTCTTTATAACCGAATGACCTTCACCCATTTTCAAGGTCACAGGGGTC